GTAGTCATACACCAAAAAATTTCGATATTCCAATTAATCTGCCAATATGTGGCTATTCTGAGATTATCAATTCAAAAACATGCAAACAACTTAGTCAACAGGTAATCAGTTTTCAATTCTGTTTTGCAGATTTTTTTACTAAAATCAAATAAAATAATTGTATCTATTTTCATCTAATCTCATTGAATTGTATTGTGTGTAAATCGGCATAATAATAGACATTAAAAAATGTACCGTCTGTGCCATTAGACTGGTTTCAGGTAGTTAGCTATAAACATGTGTTTAACTTGCCCAGCAGTATTATCTTCCAACTGTTGCTTTCCCATCATAGTACCTGACATGGAAGAGAAACCCAATCATAGAAGATGACAATTTAAGCTAATGCTCGTTATAGTGCCTATTGCATAAACGAAAATGCAACATTGTGTGAAATTGAGCTTGTGCAGCTAGAAGCGTCCATGTGGTATGTTTCAGGACTAAATGTGTTAATTGAGAAGGTTATGCTTATGGTAATCGCCGAACTAAAAACGAAGCCTAACTTCCATCAACGATGGAACAGATTAATTTTGTGCTATGCACGCTTTTCAAGCCACTGGGACATAAGCTTTGAGTTTTTCATTTTTTTCCCTTCCTCACATCACACAAACCATCCTCCTTGACAGTTAACCACTTGTCCAATTTTCTTTGAAGAGAAAAGATAAAAGGTACTGTGATCTTCTCAAAGCCGTCACCTCTTTAAACCTGCTGGTGCTACAACACCATACAGTCTAGCGGTTGTCAAATTCAAACAGCTTAAGTGTTAAAACAGGACTGACTGATTCTGCACTTCCTATCAAATAATACATTATGTCAAAAGCCTCCTTTGTCACTTAACGACATCACACTTCTATCCATTCGATGCTGAAATTTGCTTTCCAAAAAGACATTCTATCAGATGATTAAAACCAGCTTGTGATCTCTGAAAACAATTAACTAAATACAGTCTGTCTACTAAATATTGGTTTAATCCGTACACTATAGGTAAAGCTTTTCATTCACACTGAATGTGCAATTAAAAATCACATACAGCATGAGTCAAACTTCCATAGGGATTTCATCTTTCCATTCCCACACTTTCAGCCAATGCATAAAATGACTGACCATTCATAAAAAAAAATACATGCAATTGTGTCCATTCATAGCACAATGATCATATCCTGTATATGATTTCCATATCATATCCTGTAAAGTTCCCACACTTTTTGACCAATAACTGATGTGACTTTAAGATGTTTTTATTACTGGAATTTTTTTTAAAATTTGGATAAGGATTTTAAGCACAAATAAAAATTTCTAGGCAATTAAATATTTTAAATCTGAACATAAATAAGTACATATTTCTCAAAAAAAGATTACAAGATGTCTTAAAGACTTCATTTTGTTAATATTCACAAGCTTTCTAGGCCTGGAAATCACCCGGATTCTCGGATTTCTAAGGCTGTGGGAGCCCTGTATATGCAAACTTTACACTTGGATTTTAGATCAAGATCATCTAAGTTTTTAGTCAAGAAAAAACTAAAACGAATGACAATGTATAGGAGCCATGGTGTGGCTGTTAGCGTATGTGCTCTGTCATGCTCATATGGGAGATGTGGGTTTGAGTTCATGCATCTTTTTCCCATTCCTTCTCTCTCTTCCCATGATTTTCTGTCTATTCTACACTGTCCTTGTAAATAAAAGTGGCAAAACCCCAAAATTTGAAAGAAAGCAGCGAAAATTAACAAAGTTATACAACAGTGATTATTTTTGAAATCCTAAAGCATTCCCAGCACAAATAAAGAACCACAAATGGCAGGAAAATTCATTTAGAAAGAGCGAGAAGCAGTAAGAAAATCTCATAACCAGCAAAACTGCTTTCTCAAGCTCAAATCTAATGCTGGAGAGTTTTCATCGAAAAAACCACAAGTCCACACATGTCCCACAAGACACTGGCCTGAATGAAACTGCAATAATTGCTAATTACTTCAAGACCAGACCTCACTGCAGGAAGACAAAACTGTGTGTGTTCAAGCTGACAACAAAGGCGATATGAGTATACGAATTCAGTTTTAGACCACAGGAAATCAACGGGTGAGGTGATTGACTGATTGACTGACACTTGTCAAATAAGTTCCCATGTCCAAGACATCATCTCAGCAGTGATGACACTCTAAAATCTCCACACTGACAAACCAAATACACTCTAATACAACATATTTTAAAATACAGACACAGGTCCTTTAATATATTCATGATAAAGGTCTTTTTGGAGACTCCTAGCCAGAGCCGGCGCCAGCGCAGCACTGATGAGGGCGTATCATATGCACGCCAAAGTCCATTTTTGCGTATCAATACCACAAGTTTTCGCTTTTATTTGGCATACTATTTATACGCATTTTCATGAGACCAGGAGACATTTCCAGGACACGAAGAGAGACTTGACATGGTTATGGAGAGGACAAATGTTAGGACCAGAGCTGGCTCCAGCGCAGCACTGATGAGGGGGCGGCTGAGGTGACGAAAGGGGGCAATGACATAGGCTAGCACAAAGTAAAAGTAAAAAAAAAAAACATATGTGGCCCATTCACGTATTTGTCAGAGCGTAAACAAACCTGCCCGCTACTACTAGGCCTACAATTATTAGAATACAGGGTTCACACAGCTAGTGTTTTGGTCGCAAGACAGGTCAGTGGAAGTTTTTTTTTTTTTGCAAGGTCTAGAGACATGCTTTAGAAGCTGAATTTCTTTGAACTTGAGCGCCGTGTTTTAGAATGATGCACGAGAATTATGCGCGAGAAACTGCTATAAAGACCTGAGACGAGAGCGCAGCATTCAAGACGTCGAGTAGCGCATTTACATTGAAATACAATGGAAAAGTACAGCAGTGGAATGAAAAAACGCGTTCTGAGTGAATGACCCTACTAAAAGCTACTTAGCAAATACAGATGGCAGAGTATTGAATAAAACAAAATCGCATAGCCACCAAATTCGAAAATCTGACATCCAGGAAATAAATATGTCATCATAGGCAGCAGTTTTACCACAAATACAGACAAGTGATACCACCACAACCACCAGAATTACTTAATTGTGTCTGCTTTACAATGAAACACAAGCTCATTGCGACCGATTCCCTGACATAATACATTCATTGTGACCCATTTAACAGATGCATCATTTTAAGTTAGAACAACTTGAACAGCAACGAACAATAACAATACAGCGAAATAATTAGGCTAACCAACTACGATCATCTAGCCCTCTATCAAACATTAAAGAATGATTTTATCAAAGCTTACGCAGTAGTGCTGCATTCTTAGTTGCACCGCTTGCGCGGGAATTTGTCAGAGATGTAACAATTAAAATGCGACTTTGTGAAATGGACTGGCCTAAATTGTTACTAGCATCATATTAATGCTAGAAAGCCTATGCATTTGGCAACTATATTTTTTAAATAAACCATTATATTTCATAATCTATTTTCACACTCATCTTGGGTGAGGGGGCGGGATAGTCTGAGGGAGGAGGCGACGCCCCCTCACGCCCCCCATTGCACCGGCTCTGCTCCTAGCAAACATTCTTATCAGAATGGTTTAAAGGATTAGTTCACTTCCAGAATTAAAATTCTGTCATAATTTACTCACCCTCCACTTGTTCCAAACCTGTATGAGTTTCTTTCTTCTGTTGAACACAAAAGAAGATCATCTGAAAAATGTTGGTATCCGAACAGTTGATGAGTATCATTGACTTCCATAGTATTTTTTTTCCTACTATGGAAGTCAATGGTGATCGGATACCAACATTTTTCTTTTTTTCCCCCCAACATTTTTATTATTATTATTATTATACAGGTTTGGAACAAGTGGAGGGTGAGAAAATTATGACAGAATTTTCATTCTGGAAGTGAACTACTCCTTTAAGGTGTGCTAGACATCTTTCTAGGATACTCTAAAATCTCCACATTAGGCCAAACACATTTCAATATGACATATTTCTAACATTTATAAATAAATCTGCAATATATTAATTAAAAAGGTCTTTTGGAAGCTCTTAAATGATAGATGACCGTTGTAAGTGTACCGGACATAATTTAAAGATCACTCAAACTCTATATTTCCGTTTAGCAAGTTTCTCTATTTTAGACACCATCAAATGAAATAAACATCCCCATAAATAAAATATTGTAAAATGACATTCATTACAGATAAATCTTTTCCTCAGGTCGACGGACCTCTCGTGCCACCACCATCTTCACTGAGATTCGCGCGCAGCCAAAATCCTTATATAACAGCGAAAAAATAACCGCCACAAAGAAGAAGTCTCGCGCGCGCTGGAACTTTTCACGCTGAGACGTCAATCATATTCTTTCGCGCTATACTGCTCTCGCTCGCTTGCGCTGGAACTTTTCAGACCGGAACGCCAATCATACTCTCTCCCGCGAGCGCACGGAATACAGAAACAAAGTTCGTTCTTTTAACAACGGATGGTTACCATTAATTTTTTTCTTTTCTTTTTTTCAGCTTACCTGACTAGCTGAAATCGGCTTTTAAACTTGTAAACGGGTAACTGTTATTTATGTACCATATTTTACCATGCACTTTTATTTTAAAGCCAAAAAACTTGTGTACTCACCTTATTCCAATACAAAAATGAGACGTAGAAATCCTTCAAATTAGCTATATAGCAACTTTGCATGCATAAATAAATGTTTACTGATGCAGAAATTTACTCTTTTTATCGATAGTCCACATATGAAGTTTATTCTTCGCATCTCTTAACTTCTGCGCGTGCTATACGTTTACATAAGGCGGCATGTCGCGTTAATTAGACGCAAGAAATTCCGACAACTTTCTTGCACGAACTACAAGCGCTGTCAGAGACGACACAGCATCCGAGGAACAGAGCGTATCCGCCGTTTGTTAAAAGTCTGTCCGCGCGCTGTCTTCATTATAGAGATTCCCCCCCTCATAAATAAAACTTACTTTTCCCTCGCTTGGCTGTCGGACGGTACGTTGTTACTCTTGCCTTTGGCGTACATGCTTGCAGAGAGCTCCGATTGTCACGCACCTGTCAACCCATCACAGCCTCCCCGGACACAACACCGTCACCATGGTGACTACAGGAGCGATGGCTCTCATTGGACCGAGCACCGAGAAGGAACGCCCATTTTGTTGGGTAACTCGAGTGAGTGACAGTTACTCAGCCCCGCCCCAACAGAAACACAACCCCTTTCTTATCTCCAGCACTCTGTCTGTGGAACACACACACACACACACACACTTCGACTTACCCGGCACTGAGGGGAATTTGAAACCGTACTGAGAGGGATTTTAAACAACTGGCTGTTCCCCTCACAAGCAATCACACCCTCTACTGTCACTGGCCAAATTTAAAGTGAAATGGCAAATGTGGAGCGGATTCTTCAGCTTCTGCTTGTACAGATGATTGAAGTAAGATTATTTGGGTCGTACAAAAACAAATACACATCTCTTCATGAAGTATAGAGATAATGGTTTTGCATAATGTTGGTTTTGTCTTCTAAAAAGTTGATGAATGGCACTACAGCAGTTTAGACAGCAAAATACTACCTAGAAATGGATAAATGACTGAGAGGTAAACATGCTTTTAATGTAAATAATAATTGATCTGCTTACTTAGGGTGTATTCACACCCGGGGCCTGTTTCAATATGGAGGTTCAACCAACTCTTGAGTTAAAACTTGAACTCTGAGTTGACTTACTCTGAGATGGGAAACTCTTGAGTTTTCGGTTTCAGAACAGCTGAATTGAGTTAGTTCAATCGACTCTGAGTAGGTTGACTTTTAGCGCGTGCACCACGACTATGAAAAGCCATGATCAATGGAGCTCCGATTCACCATGGCAACAGCACCCGAGGTAGGTTATTGAATAGGCTATTCATTTTCATGGTATCCCACGGGCAAAAAAATATATATAATAATATTATAAGTGCATTTTTCTTATTTTACAAATGATCTGCCAATAGGGTAAGAAAAATACGGCACCGGCTATTTACACTAAGTGGAATTAGCATACTTTCTTAGCGATAGATCCTATATTTACAGTAGGCTAAGTCCCAGCCAACATTGATATGTGGGCCCCATATGGGTTATACCCGTGCAGCATGGGTTCCGTGTGGGCATGGGCTGAAAATGGGCAATTTATGTGGGCCCCATGTGTGTTTCACAATGTGGGTCCCATATAGGTTTGAACACATGGGACCTTTATGGGATCTATGTGGGCATAGGCTGCAAATGGGCAATTTATGTGGGTCCCATGTGTGTTTCACAATGTGGGTCCCATATAGGTTTGAACATATGGGACCTTTATGGGCTCTATATGGGCATAGGCTGAAAATGTCTCTAGATGCTATTTACACTTAGTGAAAATAGTGATATATTCTATTTACCATGTAAAAGTAGCAGTTCTTTGCAATACGTGTAAATAATAAATAGATGCTATTTATACTTTATACTGGCGGATACATACTATTTGCACCTCAGTATTGTACATTAACATGATGCAATAATAACATAGAGTGTAAATGATTATATTTATTAAAATGATAAATACTTTTATCATTATTAAACACTCGTTAGGCACTTTACTTCCACTTTTAGAGCATTTTCTTCATTTTTATTGAAAATAAATTCGAATGTGATATGTGATGGGAAAAGTGAGAAGAGCGAGCTCGGCAAAAGCCGGACTCGAACCCGGGGTTCTGTCAATTTGTGCTACCCTGTCAGATTTTGCTACCTCCCATTAAAACAGTGGGTAGTACAATTCGACAACGAAAAATGCTACCTGTCAAATTATGGTTTATTAATGTCTACACCTACCCCAACCCTAAACCTACCCTTACAGTAACGCAAATACAGTAATTATGTGTTATATTGGCAGTTGTGGCTAGAAGGGATACAGCTACAGGAAAGCAACAATAAAAAAAAAATTCTACCTATTAGATTGTGTTTTATTAACGTCTACACCTACCCCAACCCTAAACCTACCCTTACAGTAATCCAGATACATTAAATATTGTTGTTCAGTATGAGAAAAAGGACGCAATATTGATGTGCACATGCGCATTAAGCCCTGGTAGGAAAATCTGACGGGTAGGATAAAATGTCAGGACACCTGTTAATCACATCACAAGCTAGTTCTCTGCGGCCAAAGCGTTACTGCCTACACCATTTAAGGCGTTATTCATGCGCGTTGTATTTAACCTTGTGTGACATTGGAGGGCGGAGCTACTGTAAATTTGCACTTAGTAATAGACACTCCGAATAATCTTGTTTTCCATTTGCATTAAGATTATTTTTATTACCACACTGGCAGATAATTTTACTTAAGTAAAATTTTACTTAAGATCCTCCCAGGAAACAAGACTAAATATCTTATATCATTTTCTTATATAGAAAATCCATCTTGATTTAAGAATTTTTAGTTATTTGTACTAGAAATAATAAAAAAAAAATACTTAGTAAGAAAAGCATTTTCTCTGAGTAGTTACCTCCCTTTCAGAAACGGGCTTGACTTACCCTGCTTTCTCTGATTTGACATATCTCCCATTCTGAAACGGAAAACCCAGAGTTTCCCTCATTTCAGGGTTAACATACTCAGAGTTTTCAAAGTCCGCTAGTTCACTTGCTTTGGTCCTGGACCAAATACAATGTTGATTTTTTTGTCTGGTGCGGTTTGGTTTCACACTGCCCTTTTTTGAAAGTGAACCAGAAATTGTAAACAAAACCACACGTGTGCTAAGGTCATCCATTCATTGGGCAGAAATTCTCAAGCAGGGAAAAACAGGAAGTGCAAAAACAGGCTAATCATGGAGATCTTTCATAGTGCAATTTTTATTCTTTTAATGATTTGGTGTTATCAGATACTAACGCAATATGAAGAAACTTATGAGCATCATATGAGA